CCCCCTCACTAGCCCGGATCTCTCTTCCTGGGGACAAGGGGACAATCCCGGCAGTAGAGATGGAGCACAGCAGGTGTTGGTGGGTGCTGGGGGTCTGCAGTGTCCTGGCACTGAGAGCTGGTATCTGAAGGATGAGAAAGGTTCTGGGACTCTGCTGTGATTTCCCTGCAGGAACCTTCACCAAACCACGGATCTGGGCTAAGCCAGGACCTGTGATGTCACTGGGAGCAACTGTGGACCTCTGGTGTGCATGGACTCTGGGGGCCCAGCAGTGCCATCTGTTTAAAGAGGGAATCTCGGTGCCCTGGAGGACACAGATGTTCGAAACGCCCGTGAACACTGCCATGTTCTCCATCCCATCCGTGACAGAGCACGATGCAGGGCGATATCACTGTTCCTATACCAAATCTGCTGGAAAGTCAGAGCCCAGTGAGCCCTTGGAGCTGGTGGTAACAGGTGAGGGGACACTTAATCTACCAGGCCTACCCTCTGCCTTTAGGAAGGGGCTCTTGCTAAGACATGTCCTCCGTTCACAGCCTAGAACTCCAGCAAGTGTGACAGTGTGACTCCATTTGACACACTGGCTCTGTCTCTCCTGGGAGTCTACAATAAACCCAGCCTTTCAGCCTGGCCCAGTTCTTTAGTCACCCCAGGAGGAAACATCACCCTCCAGTGTGACTCACCACTGGGATATGACAGGTACATTCTGACTAAGGAAAGGGCAGCCAAGCGCTCCTGGACGCTGGACTCACAGTCAAGCCCCAGTGCTCAGGTCCAGGCCCTGTTCCATGTGGGTCTGATGACTATTCCCCACAGGAGGATATTCAGATGCTATGGCTATGGCAGGAGCCAACCCCAGGTGTGGTCAGAGCCCAGGGAACCCCTGGAGCTCCTGGTCCCAGGTGAAGGAGGCACAGCCTTTCCTTTCATGACTGAGGATCTGACTGATCCCCAAGGTGTGGAGATGAGAGGAGCCAGGGAACCTGGGCTCAGTGACAGAAGGAGAGGGTGGCAGAAATACCCAAGATAGAGGGATCCAGCGAGACAGAGAGGGAAC